GAGATTCTACGCGGGAAACGCGCATGTTGGCAGGGGATGGGGGCAACATCGCATCCTCGCCCCCGAAGACCTCATCCAGGCGCAGGGCCTGCGTCGAATTCGAACGTGGACGGGGACGAGGCGGAAGAAGGCAACAGCAGCAAGGACCATTGACGGAGGAAGATACTTACGAGAGTGCAGGAGAGGTGATGAAACACTATAGGGCTCTGGGGCGGGGGTCAGTGGGGCAGGGAAATCAAGGAGTGCTCTCCCCCCGTGTCTCTTCTCCCTCTCCCCTCTCCCGTAACTGCCCATCCTCTCCGACTCCTCTCCCCTACTCTACAACTCACCTTGCTTCCATCATCCCCAATCGCAGCCTCAATATCCTGCTGGCTCTCCGTCGATCTCCTCTCCCACCCCCCCTCCTACTCCCCGACCCTAGAGCAGGTCGTGGACTTGGACCTTCCTTACGGCCCTGCCGTGGCCCGCCAACTTTTATCGGGGGCGCGCAAACATGGATTAGCGATCCATGGATTTGGAACGCGGTCGCCAAATCCATGGATTGGGGGAGGTGCCCTCCCCCACATGCGGCCGGTGCGGCCTCGCTCGGGACCCGTCGCTAATCCACGCCCCCTTAATCCATGTTTGCGATCGCCTGATAGTTGTCCATGGCCAGCGGCGGACTCCCCCTCCCACTACCCTCAAGACGGGCCTGTCCATCTACAGGAGGAATGTTCAAAAATAGCTCAAACAACAATAGTCTGCGGACGTTTTTTTTTGACCGTTTTTGACTAGATTGAAACATTTTTTTTGACAACGTTTTAACGTTTCATTCAAAATCCGCCTGTAGGGAGACACGCCCGACCTAACACTCCCCCTCATCTCCCAATCCACTCCCCTTCGTCCCTCCGCAATTACTCAATATGAATATACTCTCCCTCTTCCCCTGATGGCGTCCGGGTGATGGCCGCGCACCCTCCGCGTACTGTTTTTTTACACACAGGATGCCCGGGAAATCCCGGGAAACGACTCTCGCTGAAGCGCCGGCGTCATTTTTTCCCAAAATGCTGCTCTCGTTGAGGCGCCGGCCTCATTTCTGCTCCCGAATCGTTCCGAATCGTGCTCCCGCTGCAGCGTGGGCCTCATTTTCGGATCGGTGTTTGGCCTCCGTCGTTCAGGATGGCGTTCTCGCCCCAGCGCGGGCCTTTTTCTCGCGCGCCCATCCGCCCGCCACCACCGCGCCGCACCGCCACCGCCACCACCACCACCACCACCACCACCACCACCACCACCACCACCACCACCACCACCACCACCACCACCAGCACCACCACCACCACCACCACCACCACCATCACCACCACCACCACCACCCCACCACCACCACCACCACCACCACCACCACCACCACCACCACCACCACGACAACCACGCACACACGCACGCACGCACGCACGTGCACCACCACCCACTACGCACGCGCGCGCGGAGCCACAGGTCCGCTACGACACGCGTCCGCGGATAGAGAAAATCAGCGCCATGGTAAGGGATGGGAGGGAGGGGTAGGACGTCAGATATGACGCGAGCGCACCTAGCTTGCCTCCCCCCCCTCCCCTGCGTCCCTCCCCTCCGCCCCCTCCTTCGCCCCCCTTCCCCCCCTTTCCCGCCCCCTCCTTCGTCCCCCCGCCCCCTCCTTCGTCCCCCCGCCTTCGTCCCTCCCTCCCCCGCCACCTCCTCCCCCTCCTCCCCCTTCGCCCCCCGCCCCCGCCCCTGCGTCCCTCCCCCCCCGCAGCGCGGCCCCCTCCCGAGCCTCCACGACCTCAAGGCCGGCCGTATCCTCCCAAGCCGCAGCGCACAGGCAACAGTAGCAGAGAGAAGGAGGCAACGGTCGGCGGCGAACGAGAGGGGGAAATGAGAAGGAGGAGGCCTTCTCAGAAGGCGGCGGGACTTCTCAGAAGCCCTCGCGCCTTCTGGGAAGTTCTTTATGTTTTCGGGGAAGGCTTTGAAAACTTCTCAGAAGGCCCGGGGACTTCCGAGCCTTCTGAGAAGGCCCGCCCCTTCTCACTTCCCCCCCTCGCTCGCCGCCGAAAAAGGGAAATTCGGATAAGGAGCAAGGCAAAAGGGGGGAAGAGGAAGAGGCGGGGATGATGGTAGGACGGGCAGGGGGATAGAAGGAGGCTGGAAGTGAGAAGGGCAGGGGGTTGGACAAGGATGATGAGGCGGAGGAGGAGCAGCAGCAGCCGCAGGAGCAACCCCAGGAACAGCAGAAGCATGATCCAACAATCTGGGATGAATGAAAGGAGACAGAGAAGAGGACACCGAGGGCTGGACGAGGATTATAATGATCAGGATATACAGAAGCAGATGCTGCTGCTGCTGCTGCTGAAAAAGGAAACCACCACATAAGAAAGCGGAGGCTCCATGTTCCAGGATAGCGTGCTGAGCAAGGAGCGTACAGTCAAGAGACAAACAGAGACCGAAACACAACAACGCTGGGCGCGACCTACTGTCAGTCCAACCGGGTGGGCGTTTGGTGCGCAGGGCACGTGGAGGCTTCGAAAAGGAGCATGGCATTGTGGATCTTCGAACCAGGCGTAGGCTGTCTATGACGACGCCGTCGAAGCAAATACGGAGGCAAAAAAAAAGGCGCTGGAGGGTGTGCGTCGGGTCAGACTCGAGGAGGGAGCACAGCGGTCGCACCGGACGTTGGTAGTGAGGTGGGCCGAACGGTGATTCACTGACCCCGGGTGCGTGGCCGACTTGGGGTTCTGCGGCGCGGATTGTTGCTGTGGTTGTTGCTGTTCTTGAGCTCTCACTGCTGAAGAATAACGGCTGTTGATCCCGCCCCTCTGGGGCACATGGTGTTATTTCAATTGGAGTGCCCTCCTCGGGGCTTGCGCCCTGTTGTTTATTAGAGGACGTCCTGGGTCTCGGAGTTTGGTTGTTGGCCCTTGGATTACATCGACAACGGCTCCCACCTGATAGTCCCTCACAATGTATTATTGCGGATCGCGCTCTCGCGCGGGACTTCCTCACATTGTATGCAAAAATCGCGCTCTCGCGCGGGGCTCCCTCGCAATTTCTTCGGGCGTCGCGCCTCCAACACTTGGGAATCGAGCTCTCGCTCAGGACTTCCTCGCGATGCATGCTCCCGCTTCGGCGGCCCGCCTGCTCGACCTGGCCGCCCGGGCCCGCCTTCCCGACCCGCCCGTCAGGAGGTCTACCCGCCAAATCTGCCCGTCTGGTTCTGCCACGTGGTTTCTGCTCCTCGTCCCTCTCCTGCTAGTCTCTTTCGTGCTCTGACCATCCTCCCTCCCTCTTCCATCCGTCCTTTCCTCCTCAGTTTTAGGGGCTGCGCCAACTACACGCGGCACAAGGGGGTACGATCGAAGACGACTAGGGTGGGTACCGAGGATTTGGGATACACGTGTTGAATGGCATGCGAGCAGGTCAGAGCGAGCAGCCTTGAAATGGTTCGTGTTGCTGTTGGTGTTGTTGTTGGCATTGTTGCTGGTTTGGTGTCGTTGTTGTTGCTGTTGTGGTGAGTGTTATTGTTTCTGGTGGTGGCGCTGCTGCTTTTGCTGCTGGTGTTCATGGTCTTGTTGGTGTCGTGGGTGGTGGTGATCGTGGTGCCTGTGGTGTTGCTGGTGTTGTTGTTGTCGTTGTTGTTGCTGTTGTGGCTGGCTTTGGCTATTGAACTTGTTGTCGGTGGTATGGTTGTTGTTGTGATTGCTGCTGCTACTGCTGCTGCTGTTATTGTTGTTGTTGGTGGTGTTGTTAATGCAACTGTGGTCGTCCCAATCGCGATCAAGCCCGCGACCCACCCTTGACGCACCCGCAACCCCTCCCCGACCCACCCACGATCCACCCGTGACCGACCCGCGACCCGCCCACGACCCACCCACGACGGACCCCGCAGCGCGCCCGCCCCCTCGCTCATATCCGTAACTGCGGGGTACTAAAGCACGTTTCTGGCGCAGGAGCAAGCGTGCGTATCGCAGGCGGCAAGCGTGGGAGTTCTCTCCTTGCCAGAGGCTCTCCCGCTGCTCCTTCCAGTCCATGATCGATCGTGTCATCGAATGTGAACTAGAGGTAGCTAGAGGCCTCCTGGATGGGGTCCGAGTAGATGGGGTCGGAGGATCGCGCCGCATCGCCGATACATCGGCGATGCACCGTCGATACATCGGCGATGCATCGGTGATGCAACGGCGACGCATCGTCGACGTCGGCGATGCATCGGCGACATCGACGCGAAGGAAATCGGGCTCCGCATCGAGCTGCATCGCCGATGCATCAGCGATGTGGCGCGGTCCTCCGACCCCATCTACTCAGACCCCATCAAGGATGCCTACAGTAGCACAACCTGCCCCACCACTCGCCGCCTGGATCCTCGTCTTGGCGGGCAAGGGGCCAACGCTTTGACAAATGCAGGCCCCTCGGCCGCCAGATGATGATGATGATGATGATGATGATGATGATGATGATGATGATGATGATGATGATGATGATGATGATGATGATATGATGGTGATGATGATGATGTTGATGATGCTGATGATATTGATGATGATGTTGATGATGATGAGGATGATGATGTTGATGATGTTGATGATGTTGTTGTTGATGATTATGATGATAATGATGAGGATGATGATTGGTCATCATCATCCTCATCGAGCTCCTTCTCCTCCTCCTCCTCCTCGAGATGATGATCAGATGATGATGTTCAGATGATGATCATCATCCTGCTCCTCCTCCTCCTCCTCCTCGAGCTCCTCCTCCTCCTCCTCCTCCTCCTCTCCTCCTCCTCCTCATCCGCCTCCTCCCCCTTCTGCCCCGTCCTCCTACACCGGCCCGCCCCTTGCTCCTGTGCCGGCGCCTCTCCCCTCGTCATCACCTCCCTGCTCCTGCTCCTGCTGCTGCTGCTGCTGCTGCTGCTCTGCTGCTGCTGCTCTGCTGCTGCTGCTGCTCGGCACCCCTCCTCCCCTCCCCGCTTCTCAGGTCCCCTTCTGCCGATGTACTCACTCTCCACCTCCCCCCTCCCCCCCCCCCACCGGCCAGGAAGTAAGGAGGGGTGGACGAGGGCCTGGAGGAGGTGGGTGGAGAAGGGGCGTGCAGGAGGCCCGCTGTCCTGGAGCCCCGCCGTGCCAGCCCCCCAGAAGTGGGCGGGGAGGGGGCCCCGGCGAGCAGAAGAAGGCGCCCTCCTCGCGCAGCTGCAGCACCGCTCGCTCGTGGTCCTCCTCGGCGCAGCGGAGCCGCTCGTGCAGGCCCCTGGGCGAGCAGGGGTTGGAGAGGAGGCCGCGGGGCGCGAAGGGGGGCAGGGATCGGGGGAGGGAGGGGGGGGGCAGGGAGGGGCGCGGAGGAGCGAGGAGAGCGGACGGACAGAGGCGAAGGAGAGCGGGGAGAGGAGGGAGAGAATGCGTCGTGCCCCCTCCCCTTCCTCTGGCTGCCCCTCCTCCTGGTCCGGGAGGCGGGCGGGCGGAGAGTGGGGAAAGGGGAGGGTGGAGGAGAGGAGAGGAGGAAGGGGGGATGACGAGGAGGGAGGAGGATGAGGGGGCGGAGGAAAGGCTGGATGGGGCGAGGAGGGAGGAATAAGCAGAAATAGAAAGAGAGAGAGAGAGAGAGAAAAAAAAAAAAAAAAAAAAAAAAGAGAGAGAGAGAGAGAACAAAAAAGGAAGGACATACTGTCAAACATAAGGAAAAAGGAGGGTGAGGGGGAGGCGGGGCGGAGGTCTTGGATAGGACAGGAGGGTGTGCGAGGTAGAAGCTGCAGAGCAGAGGGAGAAGCGGGAGGGCACAGGGAAGGAAGGAAGGAGGCCAAACAGGGAACGAAAACCTTCACAGGGAAGGAAGGAAGGAGGCAAGGCAGGGCACAGGGAAGGAAGGAAGGAAGGAAGGAAGGAAGGAGGCAACACAGGGAGCGAAAACCTTCACCTCCCCCTGACCTCCCCCTCGCTATCGCTCGGACGTCCGTGCGCATTTTTCTGGCCTCGTGCGTGTAGTGTATCGCAGATTGGCCTAAAGGGCTCCCCGATGGATTTTGTCAGTACAAACGCGCACGCCCGAGCGATGCCAAGCACCCCACCCCTTTTCCGTCCCCCCTCCCCCTCTGTCCCGCCCCATTACTTTCCCCCTTGCCTCGCATCCTCATCCTCCACCCTCTCCCTGGCCCTTTTGATTAGAAGGCAGAACGTCCCCCCCCAAAAAAATAAACAACCCGGCGAGCGAAGCCGTTTAGTACACGCACTAAGGGCAAGAATCGAACAGGGCAGGGCTGTTCAAAAGACGCCCCGGGCCGCTCAGCAAACGCAAGTTGTCGGGGTCTGGATGGTTTTTCATAATTGGATTGTTTTTTTTCGCTCTGACCGGTCGATGGACCCACCACCACCGACGGGCCACGACACCCGCGTTTTCCACTGGTGCTCCCGCGGTGACGATACGACGACCTCGTCGCGCACCGGCCTCCGCCACGGCGGGAACCACCAAAACCCCACCGGCCTGCGGGACCCACGCGCCCCTGGCCGACGACAGCCCGCGCCTGGGACGGCGCGGGGCCACGGGTTCGCCAACCGCGCGCGTACATGGCCCACGCGGCCGACCCCTTCTCCCGTTTTTGCGTGTTTTTTTTTCGTTATTTCGGTCTTTCTCGCTCTCTCTCCCTCGGAAGAGGATGGGAACGATGAGGATTTCTCCCTCGGAAGGGGATGGGAACGACGAGGATGGGTGTGGGGAGGAGGAGGAGGAGGAGGAGGAGGAGGAGGAGGAGGAGGAGGAGGAGGAAAAGGAAGAGGAGAAGGAAAAGGAAAAGGATAATGAGGAAAGGAAGAAGAGGAGGAAGACAAGGAGGGGGAAAGATGTCCCCCTCTTTCTCCCGTTCTGCCACGGCGACAAGAGCAACGCGGCGGCCACGTGGCCAGCGGCGTCTGTCGAACGCGTAGGAGGCCCCCTGGAGGGCGCCCAGCCTAACCTCCCTTATTCCTCCCCCATCCACCATCTCCGCCTGCTGCGGCCCACTCCCGACCACGGCGGGGTACGGTGTCGGGTCCTGCCCCTCTCCAGCGACCGCGCCAGTGCCGCGCGGAGATCGCCCAGCAGCGCGTTGGTTGCGTCGTGCGCGGGCGCGGCGCCCACGCCAGCCTTCGCGCGGGACACACTTCGGACTCACGGGTGCACGGGGGGACTTCAACGCCCGGTTGCTCATCTCTTTCCCTCCTAGCCCTCATCCGCTCCGCCACCCTCTAACGTTTGTTCCGTTCCTTCTTTCTCCCCTTTGCTCCACTTTCCATCCCCTCCCTCTGTCGCTGCCCCCTTCCCCCAGCCCGCCCGCCCCTCGCTCCCACGCTCCCGCGCTCCCTCTCGCCTTCACTGTTCTTTCCGTTAGTGGCTTGCAGAATGCCCGCTTGTGGAGAAGATCATGCACCGGAATTGGGGAAAGGCGTGGGGCAGTGCACGGATTCAGGCGGAAGTCCTCAGGAGGCGGCTCGTGCAATCTTCGCTCGGAAAAGGAAGAACAGTGGAGGGAGGACTTGTTGCTCAAGCCAGTTTCGTGAGCCTCCCTGGTCAGAGGCCCAAACAACCGACAGACACGGGCGTCCACATGGCCTGGTCTCTGGCCCTTCCCTGCAAGGCCCCTCGCGGCCTCCGCGTCCCGCCTGTCATGGTCCGCCACGATTGGCAATCGTTATAAGCGCTGCATGACGACAGCACGGCTCCTCCCCGAGCCCTCTTCGAGATGGGTCATGACTCCTCCGCGGGTGCGCAAACACTGCGCGCACACGGGGCAATGGACCACGTCAATAAACTCACGCCTGCGGCGCCTGACGTCATGCACGGCGAAAAACATGGGTTGCCAACTGACTGCTACTAGAAAGAACACGTGTAAGATCAGTCCTGGCCAACGAAGACATGATTTACCTCAGCCAGGCGGCGGGTCTTCGTCCATGACTGCAGGCGTTTCACCCCGCGCTCTAACCTCGCAGCTCTCAGGCAGGCTCTCGACCGTTTGGGTCGTGTGCGGCCGTCAGCAATCCAGCGATCCATGGGTTGCGCCGTGCCACAAGGCATACGCTTCCGCGCGCGAGACCAGGAACAACACCAAATCCTCTGACACCGCCTGCATCCACGATCTGCTCACCCAAATGGGATGTGAAAGGATGACACACAAAGTACGCGGCACGCGCAGGCACACGTGCGTGATCAGACACGAGTGCATGTAGAGAAGCATGTTCTCCCTCGCTCGCTGGTTCCCTGCGTCCATCTCGTCCTCCCTCCCGCTGGTCCTCCCTCTCCGCCGCCCTTCTTCCATTCATGCCTCTTTGCTGTTCTTTCGATCTCCCCTTCCCCCTTCGTCTCGCTCTCTCTCTCTCTCTCTCTCTCTTTCCCTCTCTCTCTTCTTTCCTTTGTCTCTCTCTCTCTCTCTCTCCCCCTCATTTCCCCCCTCTGCCTCTCTCTCCCTCTGTCTCTCTCTCCCTCTGCCTCTCTGTCTCTTTCTCTCTCTCTCTCTCTCTGTCTCTCTTGCTCTGTCTCCATCTCTCTCTCTCTCTTTTCTCTCTCTCTCTCTCTCTCTCTCCCTCCCCCCATCTACACATAATCTGTGTCTAGCCGTCTATCCCTCCCTCCTCGTACTGTCCTCTGCGGCAGCACGTGATGATGCCACCTAAACACTGCCCCAAGCAACAACGCATGACCCAGGCCCAGGACGCCGCGCCACTTCCGGAGTCAGACCCTGGCAGGGCGGGCCACTCGAGGCCACACCTTGCGATGAGCTGAGGCGGGTCCGCACGGATTTCCAAAAAAACCCTTGGTTTTTTTTTTTGCAATCCTTGGTTTTTTTTTTGCAATCCTGGTTTTTTTTTGCAATCCTTCGACTCGCGCTGGACCCCCCTTCCTGGCGCGCGGCGCGCGCCAGGGGCGGCGCCGACGCACCATCGGCGCCGCCCCGGTGCACGGCGTAGTTCTCGGCGACGTGCCGCCGCCATCGGGGCGGGCCAGATGCCAAGGGCTTTCAACGGCCCCTGGCTTTCGCGCGATCGTGCGCCCCCTTTTCCCCCTCCGCGCCTGGGCCAACGCAGGGGCCGAGGCGCCGACGGGGTGCCCAGGCGCGGATCAGAGAAATCCGCGCGGAGCACCAAACGTTTCATGCTTATGTGGTGTGCTTCTTCTTCGGCATGAGCCGAGGCGGCTCCGCCTCCTCCGCCTGCAGGCCATCACCAGACGGGCCCGTCCCAACTTGACGCGTGGACCCGCTCGTGCGAAACACGGGCCTGGGCCACCAGGCCGGATGGAGACGGTGCGCACCCCGACAAAACTTCGCTCATCCCCTGTACTGGCGAGACCAGCTAGGGATCCTGCCCCTTAGATCTGTGTTGCCAGAGGTCCTTGAGCGTTTTTGGATAATCGGCGATAATGGGCATAATACGGGGGGGGAGTATCATGTAACGCCTCCTCCCGCCGTGTGCCCGATGCGCACGGCGGCAGTGCCCAGAGCGCACTGGGGGGGGGGGGGGAGGGTCGTTACGTTATAGGGGGGAGGGGGGAGGGGGGGCCCGGGGCTATAATGCCCATGATGCCCCAGGCAAAAAAGAAACACGCTCCCAGATCTGTGTTGTCAGAGGTCCTTGGTCGGCGGGAACCCAAGACGCAGTCAGAGAAGGGCAGCCACGCCGGACCAGGCACGACCACCACACCTCAGACAAGGCACGAGCAAGGGTCTCCCGCGCGCCCGCTCCGCCCCCGATCCATATATGCAGTTGGCTTTTGAAGACCGTGTCCTTACAGCCTGACGGGAAGGGCGGTCATGCGTGGATCGGTATCGCCTCGCCGAGGGGGAGCGTTCGACAATCTGCGAAGCTCTGCTGCTCCGTCCGACCTTTTTGAAAATTCTCATCCGCGGGGGCCTGGGCGCATCGGCGCCGTGTACTCAGGCGCATCACGCAGCTGAGATCCCGTCGTGTCCGAGAAGCCCCTGCCAGGCAGGATGGCACATCGGGCGCCTGTCCAATGCACACGTTCTTTCTGGAGCGAGCCCAGCTCTGGGAACACCTGACTTGGGCTTCCCATGCGGCAGCGGGTGCAACCTTGTCCCGCGCTTCGCAAACCTGTCGGCATCCATGCTGCCTCGCAAATCACGATAACTACACACTCCCCTGAACGCTGCATACCTCGTCCTCCTCCTCCTTCTCCTCCTCCTCCTCGTCATCATCATCACGATTCACGTCTACCATCCTCCTTCTACTTCCCCCGTCGGTCATCCTTATCCTCCTCTTCTTCTCCTCGTGCCTCTCCGCTTCTCCTCTACCCGCCATTCTGCCACATCCTGCCGCATTCCTCTCCATGCCCGCCTCCCAAGCCCGCCCAACCACCAGCCCCCGATCTCTCTGTGGTTGGCCCTCCTCGTCTCACGTGTTATATGACTCTGGGAAGCGCTGCAGTCGATCATTCAACTCCTCTGCTACAGCGCTTTGAACGGCACGGCTCCAGCCTATATGATATAGTCGTGCCTCTAAAGATGGCATTTGGATGAAACCTCCTTGACCAGGGTGTATGTGGCGGGGTGTGTGGCTCATTGACCTCATGAATTATGGTTCTACGCTGGGCCCAGGAGGGGGGGGGGGGAATTGCGCACAATGCGGTGGTAAGAAACCCTTGTGCGACCGCCCCTTCACGGAGACAGCCAGATGACCTTTAAAGAGAATTCGCTTAGGGATCTAGCCCAATGTCTACAGCAAAGCTGAGGGATCCGAGAGGGATAGCCGTACCGACAAGTCAAGGTGCAGGTGGTTCATTCATATCGCCACGCGATGAGGCAGAGTCTCCAGAATATCGCCGCTCCTTCTTGCTCACCCTCCTCGTTCTCTCATCCTCCCCTCCCCTCTCCCGCCCCGCCCTTGTCGCGGCTTTTCGGCCTGCGGTGAGGCCTTGAAGGCCTCCTGCGCCGCACGGGCCGGCGTCTTGCCGAACACCTCTCCACACAACCAGCCGCCCTCCCAGTCGCCCGAGGCCTGCCGACCGGGCAAGGGTGGAGGAGACGGGCGAGTATAGGCAAAGCAAGACGAGGCAAGGGCACTCGCGAGCCAGCAGCTCGATGCCTTGGGGCATGCGCAGCAGGAGCTGAGTGGCACACCCCAATGTGGCTGCTGGCCCTGAGACTGTGGGTGTACGATGGCAGTCCCACCTTCTGGGGCCGGGGGCGAGGACGACGAGGGGGAGGAAGCAGCAGGAAGGGCACCGCTGAGGGATGGAGGGGAAGATTTTTGATTGCGCATCTGATTCGCCTGGCGACGGTCAGAGGGGGACGGCGCTGCAACTAGCAGAATATTTAGTCAGACTAAAAGACTGCGCGGGCACCAAGTAGGCAAGTACAGTACAGTACGATGGGACCCCCGCGACAGAGCGGACGGAACGCGTCGAACCGAAGCGAGGGGAAGAAGGGGGGGAGGAGGAGCACCAGCAAGAAACACAGAACGATGAGGGAGGAAGACTGAAGCATCTCCCTCGCCACCTCCTGCCGTCCTGCGCGCCGCTCGCGCCATGTCCGGGCCCACGGTCCTCCTCCTGCTGCTCCCCCTCCTCCTGTTCCTGCTCCTCCTCCTTTTCCAGCTCCTCCTTTTTCTCCTTCTCCCCCTCCTCCCCTTGCTGCTGCTGCTGCTGCTCCTCCTCCTCCTCCTTTTCCTCCTCGTCCTCCTGCCCCTCCTGCTCCTGCTCCTGCTCCTGCTCCTCCTGCTCCTCCTGCTCCTGCTCCTGCTCCTGCTCCTGCTCCTGCTCCTGCTCCTGCTCCTGCTGCTCCTGCTGCTCCTGCTGCTCCTCCTCCTCCTCCTCCTCCTCCTCCTCCTCCTCCTCCTCCTCCTCCTCCTCATCCTCGTACCCCCTCTGGACCCCCCTCTCGCGGAGCAAGCACGGCACGATGCCCGCCAGACGCTTCGCAGGACCACGGTGCGCCGCGCGAGACGACTGCGGAAGCGAACGGGCGTCACACGGGCACCCTGCCACGATGGCTCCAGCAGGGAACCAAGGAGCCCACGCGGTCTGAAGATCCCCCCCCTCCCGGACTAGGGGGCCACATGCGAACCCTACCCCCCCCCCCCCCCCCCCCCCCCTAACTTCTGAGGGGGAGGGTGGGGTTCATTTCGCTGGAGCTCCCGACAGAGTGAACCCCACACCTCGCCCTCAGAAGTCGTGGGGGGTAGGGGTGGGGCTCGCATGTGGGAGAACGCGTTTCACAGGCGCTCGATATGGAAACAGTCGACGGCGCGTTTCGAAAAGGGCCACCCCCAACCTGGGGCCCCCAACACTCGCGCCGTCGATCAAAACCAAGGAACTCTCCTCCCCCCCCCTTTTCCTGAACCCCCCTCCCTAAGGGAGGGGTGGGTTTTTGAACCTCCCCGGCGCCGGCGCCGGCGGCCGCCAGCAGCGCCGACGGCAGGGACGCAGCGACGACGACCAGAGGCAGCCCAAGGGGGGGGGGTTTCAAACCCACCCCCCCTTACCACCACCACCACCACCACAACACCACCACCACCGCCTCCAACCCACCACCACCACCACCACCACCACCAACCCACCACACAACCACCATTACCACCACGACCACCACCGCAGCCACCACCACCACAACTCACCATCACCACCACCACCACAAAAACCCATGACCACTACCACCACCACCAATCTACCACGCCACCATCACCACCGCCACAACCACCACTACCAGCAGCACAACCCACCATCACCACAAACCACCACACCACCACCACCGCCGCGACCACCACAACTCACCATCACCACCACTACCACAAAACCCGCGACCACTACCACCACCACCAATCTACCACGCCACCACCACCACCGCCACAACCACCACTACCAGCAGCACAACCCACCACCACCACAAACCACCACACCACCACCACCGCCACCATCACCACCACCAGCACCACCTCCACAAACCACCGCCACCACCACAACCCACCACCACCAATACCACAAACCACCACAACCCACCACCGCCACCACCACAATCACCACAAACCATCACCCAATCACCACACCACCACCTAATCACCACCACCACCAAACTTCCACCACCCACCACCACAGCCACCACCACCACAACAAACCGCCACACCACCACCACCAACACCACAACTACCACCACTGCCACCACCACCACCACAACAACCCACCACCACCACCACCACCACCGTCCTCGTCGACGCTCCCCGCCGCCGCCGCCGCCCGCCGCAGACGCCGGCGCCGGCCCAGAAAAGGAAATCGTCGTCCCCGCCCCCCCCACCAGCCGCCGCCGCCAGCCGCCAGCCGCCGCCGCCGCCGCCAGGGGGGGGGGGTTCGAACCCCCCACCTCCATCCAGCGGGGGGGGGTCCGGTTCCAACCCCCCCCCCCCTCCAAGCGACCTCAGAACGCGCTCTTTCGCATGTGGCCACCTACAGACGACAGGGACGGGCAGAGAAAGGAAACTGGAGGTGGGAGAAGGGGGAGCAGAAGCGGGAGGGGAACAGAACGCCCAGGGCGGCACAAGCGGAGAGGAGGGGCCTTCTCCTCCTCCTCCTCCTCATCCTCCTCCCCCCTCCTGCTACGTATATCATTGTCTTGCTGCCTCCTCCCATGTGGGGAAGCAAGTGGCCTCGGTTGCGTCTCTTGAGGCCGCGCCTTGGCTAGAGCAACTGGACCATAGAAGCGGCCAATTGGCGCGCCCAGGCAATCGCGCTCGCTTTGGCGCTCGCCTGACTGCTCTCCGCCGCACAGCCCGCTGCCTGGTTCCGTCGCCCACCTTCTCCTCCTCATCCTCTCCCACCCTCATGCTCCCCCCTCCACCCTCCCCCTCCTGCTCATTCCAATCATCTCCCCACTCCACCCTCGTCCCCCTCCGTTAATTTCCCCTTACTCTCCTACCCATCCTCCTCTTCCCACTCCTCCTCCCTCCTCCTCTCCACCTGCCTCCATTATCCGTGCTTCATCCTCCTCCTCCTCATCTTCCTCCTCCTCCTCCTTCCCCTTCCCCCTCCTCCATCACCCACTCGTCGTCGACTTCGTAGTCACCGTCGCGGTCGTCGTCGCCGCCGCCGCCCTCGTTGCAGCGGCACTCGGAGCAGCAGCAGATTTGGCCTCCACGTGGGCCCCGCGCAGCCGCAGCGCCTCCTGCAGGGCTGGCGCAAACGCTAGCTCTGTGCTGCTCCCGCCTGCACCTCCTCTTCCACACCCTCCTCCTGCTCCGCCTCCTCCTCCTCCTCCTCCTCCGTCCTCATCTGTCTTCCTACTGCACCTCCCCATCCTCCCCTCCCGTATTCCTCCGTCTCTCTCTCTCTCTCTCTCTCTCCCCCGCCTTCACCACGAGTCCACGTTCAAAACTCCTATGGCATTACTGATCCACCTCCTCCTCGTTATTCTCCTCCTCCTCGTCCTCATCATCAGCATTATCATCATTATCCGAACTACCACCAACATCGTCATCACCATCATTATCACCATCACCATCACCAGCACCGCCACCATCAGCATCATCATCATCAATATCATCAGCATCATCATCAAAATCAGTATCATCATCATAATCACCACCATCAGCATAATCATCACCTTATCCACATCATCATCAGCATGATCATCATCATCATCATCATCATCATCAACATCATCATCATCATCATGATCATCACCATCATCACAATATCAGTAGCATCGCCATCATTACCACCAGCACCAACATCATCACATCACCATCAACATCATCATCATCATCGACATCATCATCATCATCATCATCATCATCATCATCATCATCATCATCATAATCGTCATCATCATCAGCATTATCAGCATCAGCATCATCATCATCGTCATCATTTTCACCATTACAATCATCGTCGACGTCATCATCAATATCGTAGTCATCGTCGTCGTCATCATCTCAGTCCTCATCGATATCATCATCATCATCATCAGCATCATCATCATTCGTCCTGAGTCTCGTCCTCCTCCTCCTCCTCATCATCATCCTCATCCTCCTCCTCATCATCATCACTATCACCATTATCATAATACGCTGTTTCGTTCGGCGGAAAACTGGATTCTAAAACTGGATTTCGCTGCGAATTACGATCTCGTCCCCCACAACAGTCAGACAGGATAGGCTGTCAAAACCAAGGTGGGAAAGACGGAAGCATGAGGGATCAGAAAGCTTTGGCTGCTCATCCCTTCACTGAATGTAAACCACCAGTACGCACACACACATCTGGTGTGTTCTTTTTGTGGAGAACTATTACTTGGCTTATTCCTCCTCAGGAATCAGACAGGAATGTCCACACCGATGGTGAAACCGAACGTATGAAACAACACCCATCGCTTACAACAAACGTTTAGAACGAAACCAGTGCCAAACGAAACGCACTACGAACCGATGCGTCTAACACAAACGCGCAAAGTGATCCGAACCACGAACGAGTAACGAAACGAAAAAAAACAAAATGCACAGACCAAACTGAACAGCGTTGTGACCGGTCCTTGGATATGTTCCAGGCTCGTATTAGAAGATGCACCGAAAATGCGCATGCCGAGGACCAAGTCGACGACGATGACGGCGACGGCGCCGACGAATACGCTGGGCTGTCCTCTTCCCGCTCCAGCGCGCGCAGCGCGGCGTCGCGCCACGCGAGCTCGGCGGGTAACCTGGACCGCAGCGCCTGCCCGCCGGAGATGGGGCCGAGAAGGAGGGAGGAAGAGGTGTATGCGGAACGGACGTGTACGAGAAACGAGGGAGGAGGGAGGATCGAGCGAGAGAAGCGTCCGCCTCCTCCTGCTCTCTGGCTCATCCTAGCTGAAAACGGCACCTGCAGCATGTTGCGCAAGGCTCCCTCGTCGCAGCGCCACCTGTCGCCCAAGCCTTGGGTCAAGTGCAGGAAGTCCTCCGGCGTGCCAGAAAGGTCATCAGACATCGGGAGGAAAGGGGCAGGGGGAAAAGGAGGATGAGCCACGCAAGGGGGAAACAAGATGAGAGGTGGAGGGGGGATGAAGAAAGCTGAGAAGAGGCAGGAAGAGGGGGGCACGGGGAGAAGACTGCATGCGGGAGCGAGGGGGGTCGTGGCGGCTGCTGCGGAGGGAATGGTGGGGCAGGGGGGAGGGAGGAGATGGACAAGGCAGGCGGAAGGATGGAAGCAGGGATGTGAGAAGGCCAGGAAAAAAGGCAAGGTAGACTTAACAACGTTAAATACGGCTCAAGAGGCCCGCGAGATCACCCCAAAGCAGCCTCAAAAGCCCCGAAGATAGCCTCAAGACGGCCACAAACGGCCCCAAGAGAGCCCACAAGTCGCCCAAGACGCTCCTCGGGCGGTCCGAGAAAGGTAACCTTAATTTACCCTTCGAGCCCTCCGCCCCAAGAGGACCCCCGAGACTGGCAGCACTCGCCCAGAAAGCCAGCAAGAAACTCCGGGAGGGTTCCCACCGGCCCCAAAGACGCTTCCAGACGCCCCCATGAGGCCCCCAAAGGCACCTCCTCCTCGTCCTCTTCCTCCTCCTCCTCCTCATTATCATCCTCCTCCTCCTCTTGCTCCTCTCCCTCCGCTGTCCCCAATATCCTCGTGCCGTCCAAGTTTGCGGTCTCCTGGTTTCTCACTTCTCCCCTTGCGCCCCCATTCAAGACCATGTACAACCACACGCATACGTCATCAGACGCCCAAAATGCACCCAGTCAGAGCAAGTTCAAACCCATGCCGTCATGAAAGACAGTCATTCCCCTACCTCGCCCTTGCACCTTCACAGGGCTCCGCACTCCGTCTGACGGTCGGCGGATCGGCGTAAGCCTCTTGATTAAGGCAGAGGAAAGCGCCGACGAGAGCGATGCGTGTTTGCAAAACCTGTCAAATTCGTTGTGGAAGTCACGTGCGGGAGGGTTGGAAAGGGTGGGGGGACAGATGGGAAAGGTGGGGAGGACGGGGGATACATGATGGGGTGAAGGGTAATGCGGGTGAGATGGAAGGCGCGGGAAGGAGTGCAGACGGGTGCGACGACCGCGGGTGGACTGGTAGGGAACAGAAACACGAGGAGCGGGGAGGAGGAGACAGAGCTCAGATAATGATGAAACGTGCGGGTTCACAAAAAATATACACACCATGCACACTGACGTCACATACGATCGAAAATGAGTGCTTCGCCAAATTCCCCCAACGCGGTGGCGAACATGCGCGGCAGCGCAACAAAACAAACAAAAACTGGGGCGATCCCAAACAGGGCGTTTCTCCTTCGGAACACAGGAAGCCCAAAACGACAACGTGAACCGTGAACAAAAACAAAGACACAGCGGATGCGACCTGGAAGCCTGGAACAATCATGGGCACAATGGCTTCGCTTTGTTGTGTAACGCGGTGCGTTTCGGAAAGCGCAGCAATGTCGTCGAATTCGAAAGTTTGTAAAAACCGCCCAACGAACTTGAATGCAACCCCCAAGCAATCAGACAACGTCCCGGCCACGCAGTTCAAAACAGTCTCAACGGCCAGACGCAAAACGCAACGCTTGCGATGCAAAGCGCGGGATATGTCCGCGAATCCACCCAATCCCAAGCAACGCGTTGCAACGCGGCCCGGGGCAATGCGAAGCAATGTTGACGAACGGCAAGTGCGTTTCGCGAGGCGCTGGGTAAGACCCAATTGATCCGAACAGCGGGGCGACCCGCAAGCGCAGTCGCGAATGTTGCACGAACGGCGGCGATGACAAAATCGAGTACAAAATTGATATATGGACGTTTCAGATGCATGGATGTCACGCGCGCGAACTCATTCACCGCTGTACCAGAACAACTCCATCGATGATGGTGATGGTTGCTGTTTTCGCATCGGCATATCCAAGCGCAGTCACCCAAATCCAATGGTAGCTGGCGCCGCTGCAACCATCTGGGCGCGCGGGCCCAGGTCGGAACATAATGCGCGCTGCCTCGCCGAGCGGGCGCCTTTACCCGGGGTCCAAAAAAACCAAGGGAGGCTGCAATCAAGCTGGCGCTTGGGCCCATGTCCGAGGATACTGCGCACCGCTGCGTCCCTCTGGGCGCGTAGGCATATATCCAGAGTGGCTGGGGGCGCTCGAATCGTCCACGCGAGCGCGCCAAGGTCCAAACATAACGAAAACCCACGCGTCCGGGCACGTCGGCGCGGGCGCAGCAATCTTGGGGCAACTACTTGCAGGTCGCAGGCAGGCGCAGTCAGCAACGCCCAAACAAGAAGTGGCGCAGACACTCTTGCGCGTCGGAAAGAAAGTCGGGCGCCCGCAACCATTGTTGCACAAACTGTCCCGCGCCACCCTCCGGAGATCATCGCCTCGTTCGCCGACGCCTCGCCCGTCGCCGCCGCGGGTCGCCGCCGGGGGCCGCGCGGCGCGCGAGATCGCGCGGCCGGGCGAGGCGGGGGGGGGCTGGATGGGGCAAATGGTGCTTGAGTTTCTGGCCCCCGTGAGCCCTTTTCTGGGCGAGCGCCGCGCAAGCATGTTCCGCTGCTGCGTTTTGCAGATCCCGTGGGCTCGGGCTGGCCGATGCGTTCGCTGTGCGTTCACGCCGCGCGCGCTTATTCAGGGCCCTGTCCAGAGGGCCCTGGGGGCGTTGCCTGAGCGGGCCTGGGCGGGGGCGGCGCCCTGGGGCAAGGGGCGGGCGGCCGCGCGATCGTCGGCCGCGGGGCATCCGGCCGCGCCCCGCCCGATGGAGCGCTGAGACGCGAGTTCGCAGGCATTCGAAACTCGAGCGTCGACTGAATGCCAGAGGCTCGCGCGATGTAATTGGCGTCGCCCTGGGCGGGCCCTCTGAGAGTCTGTCGGCCCGCTCCGCGCCAGCCATCGCCGCGGGTTCTTCGGGCGACCCGCCCTTTGCGCCGCGCGCAATTGCGCGGGCCCCGCCCCGGCGCAAGAGCATATTCGTGGCCGGCCGGGCCAGGCGCTGCGGCGCGGAGAACGTGAACCATTGTGGCAAAAACTGCCCCGCGCCACCCCCCGGAGATCATCGCCTCGCTCGCCGACGCCTCGCCCGTCGCCGCCGCGGGCCGCCGCCAGGGGCCGCGCGGCGCGTGCGATCGCGCGGCCGGGCGGGGCGGGGGGGGGCTGGATGGGGCAAAGGGCGATTGAGTTTCTGGCCCCCGTGAACTCTTCCTGGGCGAGCGCCGCGCAAGCATGTTCCGCTGCTGCGTTTTGCAGATCCCATGGGCTCGGGCCGGCCGATGTGTTCGCTGTGCGTTCACGCCGCGCGCGCTTATCCAGGGCCCTGTCCAAAGGGCCCCGGGGGCATTGCCTGATCGGGCCCGGGCGGGGGCAACGCCCTGAGGCAAGGGGCGGGGGGGCGACGGGCCGCGCGGGCGGAGCGCGGGGCCGCGCTGAGGGCGCGCGGACGGAAACAGGGAAAGGGCAGGGCGCAGGATCACGTCCCCGTCTAGAAGTATACCTCTTGCGCGTCTTCTTGCGATTGTGCTGACGCGCGCGCGCGCCGAAGTTTCCCGCGCGCGCCGCCGCGCCGACGCCTGCCCCGAGCACCTCCGGCGGCGCCTGTCGTCTCAGTCGCAGGCCATGGGGCGGCGCTTATCGCGCGAGTCAGCGTCGGCGGCGGCGCGCCCTTCCTCGGCCGCGGCGCTGGGCAGCCACGCGGGGCCCGTCAGCGAGGGCGCCGCGCGCGGGCGCGACTCGTCGCGCGCGTGCCCCGCAAGGCGCCAGGACTCCTCGCGAGCGACGTCGGCGGGCAGCCGACCGGCGGCGCCGACGACGCTCTGCATGCCTTGACTGGGCGCCGCAACCTCGGCCCGCGCACCAGGGCCGATCACTCGCGGCGCAATCGATCTCCCTCGAAACGTCAGCGGGGGAATCGGCCCCGCGGCCGGCGCGCGGCGCGGCGGCCGCAAGACGCGCGCCTTCCGCGCGACAGGGTCGGATGCCACGCGGGCCGCCATGAAGGCGCCGGGGAGACGGTCGACCGCGCCGCGCAGGTCGCGGCCTGACTCGTCACAGCTCCAATGATGATGTAGCTGATGGCGCTACGGCTGCTTCTGGCGTTCACGCTGACGACGACGGCAGCGACGTGGGCCGCTGAGATGGATTCGGCGCAGTGATTGCCATCAGTGGCGGGTAAGACATGGCGCGAGTGATGCTGATGTAGATGGCGCTGGCGTTGGCTGCGCGTGCGTTGATGGTGCTGAGGTTGTGGCTAATACTTGCCGCATCCACGGCATTGAATATGAAGGCAAGGATAAGGGTGGCGAAAGTGATTTCACCCGGTGGCGCCAGCGATGCTGATGCTGACGATGTAAATCATGTTTGTGACGCCGTCATGGGCGATGGTGGCGATGGACCTGGTGATGGTTTTGTGGATATGGATAGTGGTGGTGGTGAGATTCGTGGTGTCCGCGCTGATGGCGTCGAACTTACCCGTAAGGGCGATGGCAGCGATGGCGCAGCGGCCACGCTGACGTGCATGAAATCGAAGGCGCGCTGCTGTTGCCGATGGAGACATCGCCCTCGCTCTCGGCCTGGACGAGCAACCCGCAGGCTGCGCGGAAAACCGCGCGGCAGCCGCGGGCCAAGGAAAGGAGGGGGGCGTTCGACATCAGACAAGACAAACTCGCTCGCCTCTGCGTTTCCCAGACGCCCGCGGGCAAGCTCCGCGAGGGGGCGACCCCGGCGAGGACGGGGGGGCAGCGCGGGGACGGGCAAAATCGAAACCAACTTTTGCCGGTTGCTCTCGTCGGAGGGCGCCAGCTCGCCCGACCCGATCGTCGCCCCGCGCGGGGCGCGCAGCGCGAGGGTTCGCGCGACTCGCCAACCCTCGCGATTGCGCTCGCGGGCCCCTCGCGGGCAAACAAACAAAATAATGGCACGCGCGCCTCTTGGGCGGGAAAGAACGTGCGATTTCTGCGTCGGAAACGCGCCGAGCACTGCGCCCAGCGCGCAATCCCACGCGAACGCCGCGCAGCCAGCG